TTTAAACCTGTTTTAACCTACCTGGCCTAGGCCTAGGTTAGGTCTCGGTTTGTAACATCACACAACATCACAAACAAGTGACACAACACCACAATGGCCATGGATAGCCAATACCGATCATTGCCACGATCATCGCAGGCATCTTATTCTCACCCGGGTAAACATTTTTAAAATGCTTCATTAAACACCAAATTAATATAGGCCCCTAGGCCTACACATTATTTTCACTGACTGTCAATCCAACAATAGGACCTTTTAAAAACCTGTACCTAAAATAGGGTAGGCTACGCAGGTGCCTACACTGTTAGGCATAACTGTAGTTTTTGGGGTGTTACTGTAATTATTTCTACAGTAGTGCTACTGTAATCTCAATTACCAGTAAGTACTGTAAATATCATAGTAATTTTGCAATAATGAAGAGCATCTTTACTTTACTGTACTTTTTACAGTAAGCAAAGAATGCGGTTCAATTTCTACAGTAATTGTGTAATTCTCATAAGGACGAATACACTCGGTTGGGGGTATTAGAATTACTCATCTCCTATGCCCTCGAACGCGCACGCGGCGTGGTGGTACCAATTTTCAGCAGCAGTCGCGCCTTTTTCTTGTCCTGAGCGGTTGAGTGTCAAACCAGTTTTCTTCTTCTTTGTGTTACTTTAAAATTTACATCAAGATAAAAAATCTGAACGGTAAGAATAACTAGTTAGATTGTTTAACTGTTAAACTAGAATGCCAAACAGGACAAGCATACTCTAAGAGAGGTCGAATGTAAGTGGTGTAGACTGCAGTTCAATCAATTATGGATGCGTTCGCTTATGGATGCGTTCGCTTTCTTCAAAATGTACAATGAGAAAAGCCTTTTGGAAGCTTTGAGCAATATTTCTTCAACATGGTATAGCTAAACCAAGAAGTTTAAGTGTGATAACAGTTTTAAGAGATAATTTGTCAAGAACTAAATCAGGAAGATCAGGTTTAGATTTTGTAATTTTACAAAATTTGTAATTTAGGCTTATAATTAAGTTACACTGGTAGCTAGGCTAGGCCTACTACTAGGCACTACCTTTTTTCATTCTCCAGGCCGGCCATACGGCCGGAAAATCGTCCACTACTACTACAGGGCTGGGACAATCATCATCCCTCTCCTCGTAAAACCTAGGCTACCTATCTAAAATTGTTGTTAGCTAGGCCTAGGCTAGTTATTGTTTATAAACATGAAATAGTATTATATGCAAACATGAAATAGTATTATATGCAGATATTGATTAGTTTTTAGTGAATTTCACATTATTTGGTTGTCCGGTTTTAGGGATTTATTTGTCACTTTCGACACCCCTTGATTGATTGATTGAATTGACCGCCGATACGACGTGTGTGGTTTGTTTTTCTTGAAAAAGTTATGCTGACTGAGGTCCGACTCGATGATAGTCTAAAATAGGCCTGTCACGCCAAAATTGGTCCGGGCTAAAATTGGTCCGGGGCACCGATTTTAGCCGCTAAAATTTGTCCGGGGGACTGATTTTGGCCGGCCAAAATGAGTCCTCCTTGGATAATATTGGTCCGGCCTGGACAAATTTTGGCTTAGCCTAAATCGATCCGCCTATAGATACGAGTTCGTACATAACCAATTACAGCACAGTGAGTGCTTACCTATTGGTCTGCATAGATTTTGAGGGGAAAATCTTATGGTGGGAAATTAGAAATTGAACGACCAATGAAAATGAAGGTGATGGGTGAAGTTCAATCTTGAGCCTATTTTGCATACATCGCCGCATATAAGGCTACAGCAGCTGTATGCGAAGGAATTCATTTGATAGCAGAGGCTCGGTTTGGTTAGTAGAGTACAAGAAGTGAAAGAAAGATTGTGCTTTCTTTTTAGTTTCAGGGTGATGTACACCTTACAACCTTACAAGGAAGATATAATTATTTGACATTTTAGTAAGTCGATATCCATTAATTAAGCTGCTGAAAATAAGGAAAAAATAATGATCCAACAGCAGGGAATATCGTTGTATACAGTATATTATTATTATTCAACAACACACATTCACCCCACCCTCCTCTTTCTACCAAATATATAACAGACACGGTTTAGAAGGGGGTATGGCGGTTTATTCTTGTCCCTGATAAAAAAAAAAATAAATAAAAATAAGAGAAAAAGAAATAATTGGTCGCCTAATACGCCTCAGAGGTTATTTTCGGTCGTCCAGAGAGTACAGGAAAGTACTGCTGTGGGAAACATTAACTGGATATATGGACATAGTATACTGTATATATATGTAGCTCTCTATACAATAAAAATAATAATAATCTCCACCCAGGTTCTTTCAGCTACAAAATGAATGAAACAGCAAGCAACAAATCATATGGAATCCAATATAAAATACACTATTTATTAATACTACTGCTCACTCGTAAAACTTAATACTATTTAAGATCAGCATTCGGCATATACACAGTACATAATGTAAGATGTGTATAAGAGACAGCCATAGGACACACAAAAATACAGGGAGGTACTGTAGCAATATTGAGAATGTAAAATGTTTTTAACAACTGGTATATCTGTACTTTCGAGCCTAGCCTACATAGCTTAGCCTTTCCTTCTCCACGTTCACTAATGCTCTCCCATCAACTAAAGCCATGATGTATGCAAATTAAGGCTTCAGTCATGGCATAGTTTTGATTGGTGGTTCGAACTTTGCGGACCGATTAGGCCTACTAACCACTCACTGTGTTATGGTTAGCGCAGATTTTAAATAAACCCTTTCACAGATGTTTCGACCGCCTCCCCTTATTGCTGCGAAGCAGCCAATTCATATTCTTGACAGCAATTTGACCTCTGAAAGGTCATTGTTTGTCAAAAAACAAGGGCCTATAAGACGACTGAAAAGCAAAGCGGAGTTTCCTTCTTTCGTTCTGCCGGGTAAAATCAATTACTTTAGGCGACGGTTGTAAACTAACCAACACGTACCGACCTCCGCATGTCGCGCTAGCCTTATCCTACTCTAGGCCTAGACTAGCTAGGATGGTATAGGCTTGGCCTTGAAGGGACGAAGGTCCAAATGAAAAAAAATGTCGCTCCTTGATAGCTAACATTGTCTATTTAACATCACAATAATTCATTATGAGACCTATAGTTGTTTTTTTGAATTGTACTCCACAAATCTCAGCCAATACCACGCACAACTCGAGTAACGTCTCGTATTGTCATGGCTCGCTGGCTCACTTGCGATGTCTCGCACTTGTGATCAAATAACACGCTGGCTCGCACTTTGGCAACACTCTTTGGCAGTCAACTCGCCCCTAGAAAACCCGCCCTTGGAAACTTGCCCTATAAAAAAAATGTACACCTCCTAGACCATGCAGTCTTCAAAACATAAATTGTAACCTTTGGTAATCAACTACATTTTCCACATACATATAAATTTTTTAAACTGTATTTAAAAAAAACCTAACCATAATTCACCACTATATACACTTTTTGACAAAAATGAAAAATTACGACTTTGTTACCCAATGAGAGGTGTTCTAATATAGACAATGGGTCGTGTCTCATATTATTTGTTATATTTTTATTATTCATTATTTTCACTTGACGCATAAATAATTATGTTCGAAGAACATTTACATGCAGTTGTACTTCGCAGCACTCACTTGCAATTTGCAATTTCTAGTATATATCAAGATATAGGCCTGTCAGGAAAAATTTGGTCCGGGGCAAAAATCGGTCCGGCGGACTGATTTTGGTCTCATAATTACTTGCCAAATGTAGTCCACATAAGCCAAAATCAGTCCGCTGAAATTTACTTTGCTGCACAGCAGACTTGGAAATATTACGTCCGCAATAGGTTTTGGCGGAAAGAACAATTCCTAAGCTTTTACAGACGCGCATATGCTTATCTGGCCAATCACAATGATGTCCATAGCTAAAGCCTTAATTTGCATACATCACCCTATATAAGAGTTTAAGATCGGCATGTACTTGTTTGGATAGTAGAGCTTTCACGGTTAGTGAACATTGGAATAACAGTAAGGAAAGACTTAGCAATGTACACGGACATACATTACCTCACATTGAGAGAAAATTTAATTTCATATTCATAACTCATACCGCCTCCACGCCTCATATATTTATTAGAAAGAGGGAGGGTGGGTGAACGACGTGAAAGTGTTTTTGAAATTTAACATGTAGATTCCGCTACGCTAGACACAGCACAGTGGTTTCAAACCACCAATCACAATGACGTCCATCGCTGAGGCCTGAATTTGAATACATCACCCTATGTAAGAATTTAAGATCAGCATTCGGCATATACACAGTACATAATGTACATGCATGTACAGTACAGTATTTGTGTTTAGCTGATAGAGCCTTCGCGGTTAGTGAATGTTGGAATAACAGTAAGGAAAGACTAAGCTATGTACACGCATATATATTACCTGTAGTTGTTTTAATAGTGTTACAGTATATTTGCTATGAACAATTACATTGACATTAAATTTAATTTCATATCTCATACCGTGACAAGACCAACTACGTCCATATCCCTTTCTAAATCCACGCCTCATATATTTGGTAGAAAGAGAGGGTGGGTGAAAGTGTTTTTGAAAGTTAACATGTAGATTCCTCTACGCTGATTTCAAGCCACCAATCACAATCACAGTGATGTCCATCGCTGAAGCCTGAATTTGCATACATCACCCTCTATAAGAGTTTAAGGTCATGATGTACAGTACAGTATTGGGCTTTTGTTCTTAAACAGAAAGTGCAATCAGAATGACAAAACGTACTAAGTATCGATTCTATATTTTTTTGCATTGTGTGGCCGTTTATTGTTTTTGTTTATCTCGTTTTATTATATATATACACGTAGGCCTGTCAGGAAAAATTTGGTCCGGGGCAAAAATCGGTCCGGTGGATTGATTTTGGCCTTATAATTACTTGTCAAATGTAGTCCATATACCATCCTATACCATTGTTTTTCATCCACAACTTTCAGATGGCGCACAGAATTCTACAAACAAACGCAAGGTGCTGCCATGGGTTCTCCGCTGTCACCGCCAATTTATTTATGGAAGAATTTGAACGGATTGCCCTCTACACGTCATCAGAACACCGACCAAAGTTATGGCTTCGATATGTTGACGACACATTTGTGATCTGGCCACATAACCGTGAACTTCTGGGGGAATTCCTATGTCATCTAAATGCACAACACAGCACCATCGCCTTCACCATGGAAACTGAATCAGATAGATCTATCCCGTTTTTAGATGTACATGTAACCAGAACCACTAATAACACAAGGTACGTCAGATCTACTCTTGCCCTGAACGGATATCGCCATTATAAGTTCAACACGAACCCACCAACCACCAGACCAGTTCAACCAGAACCATTTAAGACAGTAGCCTTGCCTTATATAGGCCCCACCTCACATCAAATTCAGCGCATTCTGAACTCGGCCAACATCAGAGTTTACCACAGTGCACCCAATAAACTTCAGGGGATACTTCACACATACAAGGATAAGCCATCTCACAATAATCGTCCAGGGGTATACAATATCCCGTGTGAATGCGGTAAGGTCTACATCGGAGAGACTGGTAGAGACCTCAAACCAGACTCAAAGAACGAAGAACAAAGACGAGGCGAATACCAGAAGTCATCCATCATTCTCCATTCATACAAGGAAAATCATCAAATACATTAGAAAGACTCAAAGCTAATCGCTCCAGTTCCAAATTGGCACTCAAGACGCACAAGGGAAGCAATGGAGATATACAAGCACAACACAGTTCCACAAGATGTTGGATTCGTCATATATGGCTATCACTATTTAAACCATCGTCACTACGATATTTCCAGGGAATTTCTACATACAGTTTATTTGTTTACATGTAATGCTGGTTATCATTTTTATTGGCATGGGATGGTAACCTGTGAATTATGAGCCTGCCGGGTTTGTCCCTTGAACTGCGGGAGAACGGTACACCTTGCTTATTGTTAACCACTTTACTTGTTTTCAGATTTACTGTTCACAGCTTCTATACAGCCGACATAATAGCTAATCCTCTATTATGGAAAGACAATTAGTCATGATCTATGGATACTCCTAGCTTTCTACTTCAATCAAGCACTATTCACACCTTCTTTGTTTCAAAAGGGAAACAATAGATCACCGACGATCACCAACTCTATTTAAGACCAACAGTCATCTTTTATCATTCTCCTGATGACGGTCAGAGCAATCTTACCGAAACGTCGAGACAACCAACCTGTGGTTTTTACCTTAATAAAAACCATATTCTTTTATTTACACATGGTGTACCGAAAAATTTGTTATATGTTTATTGATACTCGCCATGCAAACCTTCAAGAAATGTAGTCCACATAAGCCAAAATCAGTCCGCTGAAATTTACTTTGCTGCACAGCAGACTTGGAAATATTACGTCCGCAATAGGTTTTGACGGAAAGAACAATTCCTAAGCTTTTAAAGACGCGCATATGCTTATCTAGCCAATCACAATGATATTCCTAGCTGAAGCCTTAATTTGCATACATCACCCTATATAAGAGTTTAAGATCGGAATGTACTTGTGTTGATAGTAGAGCCTTCGCGGTTAGTGAACATTGGAAAAACAGCAAGGAAAGACTTAGCAATGTGCACGGACATACATTACCTCACATTGAGAGAAAATTTAATTTCATATTCATAACTCATACCACCTCCACGCCTCATATATTTGGTAGAAAGAGGGTGGGTGTGTGAACGACGTGAAAGTGTTTTTGAAATTTAACACGTAGATTCCGCTACGCAGGACACAGCACAGTGGTTTCAAACCACCAATCACAATGATGTCCATCGCTGAAGCCTGATTTACAGACATCACCCTATATAAGAGTTTAAGATCATGATGTACAGTATTTGGCTTTTGTTGATAGCAGAGGCTTCGAGGATTTTTTTCAGTGACAGGACAAACTACCATACCCCCTTCTAAATCCACTCCTCACATGTTTGGTAGAGAGGGTCGGTGAACGTCGTGAAAGGGTTTTTGAAATTTAACATGAGATTCCGCTACGCTACCCACAACACAGTGATTTCAAACCACCAATCACAATGATAAGAGTTTAAGATCGGCATGTACAGTACAGTATTTGTGTTTAGTTGATAGAGCCTTCGCGGTTAGTTAACATTGGAATAACAGTAAGGAAAGACTAAGCTATGTACACGGATATATATTACCGGTAGTTGTTGTATTTTTAATAGTGTTACAGTATATTTGCTATTAACAATTACACACATTGACATTAAATTTAATTTCATATTCATAACTCTTACCGCCTCCACGCCTCATATATTTGGTAGAAAGAGAGAGTGGTGTGTAAACGTCGTGAAAGGGTTTTTGAAATTTAACATGTAGATTCCTATGGCGCTAGCCACAGCAGTGGTTTCAAACCACCAATCACAATCACAATGATGTCCATCGCTGAAGCCTGAATTTACAGACATCACCAATATAGAGTTTATAAGATCATGATGTACAGTACAGTATTTTATTTGGCTTTTGTTGATAGGAGAGGCTTCGAGGGGTTTTTTTCAGTGACAAGACTGACAACCATATCCCTTTCTAGATCCACGCCTCATATATTTGGTAGAAAGAGAGGGTGGGTGAAAGTGTTTTTGAAAGTTAACATGTAGATTCCGCTACGCTGATTTCAAACCACCAATCACAATGATGTCCATCGCTGAAGCCTGAATTTGCATACATCACCCTATATAAGAGTTTAAGGTCATGATGTACAGTACAGTATGGGCTTTTGTTGATAGCAGAGGCTTCGAGGGTTTTTGCACGTGGAAGAATAAGGGAAAACCTATAGCTACGGGCTCTAGAGTACACAGATATATATACTAGTTGTTAAAAATAGTTGTATAAATTGCTAATAAGATTTTTATTTATTTATTTATTTAATTTTAACAACTTTTATGAGGGTATTCCAGTCCATTCAGCCGAAGCTGATCATAAGGTACCATCAGTACACAGTACAACAAAGGAAAATATGAATGAATTAACAGTAATACACAGTCGGTAAATTTAAACTACAGTTATTAGCCCAAATGATACAATCAATAAACATATATATGTGGGGGTGTGTGTGTGTGTAAAATAAAAATATGTATGAGAAAAAAAAGTTACAGTAGTTCCCTGCACATTGCTTATGTTATTTCAAGTTAAACAACCCATGATATACAACCCGATATACAAATCATAAGCACACATTCAATGCACCAAAACACAGAAACAGCACAAAACTTTCAAAGTTCATATGGAAACTAAAAGACAGCAAAACACAATACAATATCAAATGGTCCATTATTGATAGAGCCTCATCCTACTCACCCAAAACAAAGCGATGCAATCTATGCAAGGCAGAAAAGTTTCATACAATTTATGCAGACAAACAATCTACTTTGAACAAAAGGCACGAACTCCTTTCAAAATGCAGACACCGGGCACTCTCTCTATGTATCCATGTATTCACAGATACTATATAATAGGCCTATATATATACAGTATATTACATATATATATATTATATATATATTATATATATACATATATATATGCATATATATAATATACATATATGTAATATATATATACTATATATATATATATATATATATATATATATTGGGTCAGCGTCATTCTCTCTATGTAGCCATGTATTCACAGATACTATATATATAATAGGCCTATATATATTATATATATGCACATCCTTTCCTTTTGTAAATTTTATTGAACGCACCATCATTCTGATGTGTTGCGATGATCTAAAAACCTATGTACAATAAAGCTCAGTTACTTTACATTTATTCTCCCTGACGATTTGTTGTTTTTCCTTCCGCCGGGACTACCCCTGAAGTAAGGCTCTCTGCAGTTCAATTGTGTAGCGTGCCCATCTAAAATGCCTCATTAAGAAACTAACGTTTTTCTTTGTGTTTTGTTGTTCTCCGATTCCTCACATCGTATGGCGTTCCACTTCGACAGGTAAAATAAAATGCAATGACAAAAATGAAATAAATAAACTTCAAACTACTTTTATCAATTAATATACTGTATATCTGTTGACATTCTTTAAAAGACCGTAAAATGCCACCACTTCACTACTAACCCCAACGAGCAACGAACCTCTGCTGTCAAATGAAATCGGAATACTGTATTGTACCTTACTTACGACGACGTATGCAAATTAGGCTTCAAATTGGACTTCAGCCATCGTCTTCTTTTGATTGGACGTTCAATTTTCATTTTCCCGCCAAAAGATTTTCTCTCTGTGCGGACCGATAAGTAAGCACTCACTTAATTCTCCCCGACGATTTGTTGTTTTTCCTTCCGCCGGGACTACCCCGGAATTAAGGCTCTATGCAGTTCAATTGTGTAGCGTGCCCGTCGAAAAATGCTTCATTAAGAAACTAACGTTTTTCTTTGTGTTTTGTTGTTCTCCGATTCCTCACATCGTAAGGCGTTCCACTTCGACAGATAAAATAAAATGCAATGACAAAAATGAAATAAATAGAAAACAAAAATAGTAAAAAAGTAATTAATACAAGGAGGTAATGTGAAATGATTAAGAGTAAACTTCAAACTACTTTTACCAATTAATATATAGGGCCTATCTGTTGACATTCTTTAAAAGACCGTAAAATGCCTCCACATCACTACTAACTTCAACGAGCAACGAACCTCTGCTGTCAAATGAAATCAGAATACTGTATTGTACCTTACATACGACGACGTATGCAAAATAGAATAGGCTTCAGATTGGACTTTAGCCATCGTCTTCTTTTGATTGGACGTTCAATTTTCATTTTCCCGCCAAAAGATTTTCTTTCTATGCCGACCGATAAGTAGCATTCACTGTGCTGTGATTGGTTGAAACCAAACTCGTATAGTGTAGCATTGTAGCAGGCGTAGGCGGAACGATTTAGGCTAAGCCAAAACTAGTCCTAGCTGGACCAATAGGATCCAATGAGGACTGATTTTGGCAGCTAAAATCGGTCCCGCGGACAAATTTTAGCGGCCAAAATCCGTCCCGGACTAATAATGGTGACCAAAATCCGTCCGGGGGACCGATTTTGGCCCGGACCAATTTTGGCGTGACAGGCCTACTAGAGAGAAAGTTAAGAAGTGGTTACTTGCTAACGGAGATCATTAATGATCAATGGCGAAAGTTAACAGATAGTAAATTGCATTACTTCTCACAAGTTAACAATTACGTATGTACTAACTAATTGCAGAATCGGGTGATGGAACTCGGATGGCTGTTAACGGAAATGTGTCTGGATGCATTGAAACCGGGAAGTATCCATGAGAAAGATCCATTGGTGAGAAATATTTAGCTCCACCTAATACCTCAAGCGTTTCATCGATCTGTGGTAACGGGAACGAATCTTTAACTGTGATAGTATTTCCGTGCTTATATTTTTTCCTCGAATAAGCTCAGAGTTTGTAGTGGCAGTAGATTTGTTTTTTCCAGACATGTTTGAAAAAATTATACAGATAAAAACGCAACTGACGTAGAGTAACACGAACTTATAATAGTTTCTCTTTGCTGTAATGGAAAGATAACTAAGTCTCCTACATCTCCTTAGTTTATAGAGCCTACACTACCATCAACAAAACACACATTTATACAAGTATTAT